TTTCCATATATGGAAAGCCAGTGGTACCTATTTTTATTTTGCAGATTTCAGAATGATGTTGGAAACAACTTCGATAGAAAAGGAGAAGAGAATGTATGCTAACCCTAATGAATTCGTATGCAACAAATCAAAAACCGTCCAGCATTATATGAACATAGGTATGACTTTACAGCAGGTAGTTGGAGTCAGCTTCTATTGTGTGATATCTATAGTCCAATACATGGTAAAAATAAAGCTAACAGTGAATTTTGATAACGTCAATTTGAGAGATAAAGAAAAAATTAACTCTTAGTGATTAGCCATAAAAAAAGTCATTAACCGAGCAATGAATAAGAAGAGGACAGCGATAGCATTGACGCTAACAACTTGGCACTGTAACAATACTTCATATTTATATTTATTCATATATATTATTTAGACATAATTATTAAGTATTGATATAAACAACGCAATTTTTCAAGTATAAATAGTCCTAATTATTTTTTTATGTTTTTCTTTTATATAAGCCTAACAAAATGTCCGGTTCTTCCAGAGTTGCCATCAAAAGTAGAGTTTATTTTATGTTGTTCTTTTGCTATATGCTTATAAAACACAATACTTTGTATTACAATATTCGTAAGTTTCGTTTATACTATCGCAAATAACTCTACAAATAAGCAGCTAATTATAGCTATCATGTTTTATACAAACTCCAAACAAAAATATGCTAATAATGTCCGAAAACTGTTAGTGTAAACATAGTCTGTTTATGTTTAGATTGGAAACTCACTTAAGTAAAAACAATAACAATTCACAGCTTATTATTTTAAAATAATAATAGAATAAAAATATTTTTCATTTAAATAAATTAAATTTAAATAATGTCCAAAAACTGTTAATGTAAACATAGTCTGTTTAGGTTTAGATTGGAAACTCACTTAAGCAAAAACAATAACAATTCATAGCTTATTATTTTAAAATAATAATTATAATAGAATAAAAATATTTTTCATTTAAATAAATTAAATTTAAATAATGTCCGAAAACTGTTAATGTAAACATAGTCTCTTTAGGTTTAGATTGGAAACTCACTTAAGCAAAAACAATAACAATTCATAGCTTATTATTTCAAAATAATAATAATAATAGAATAAAAATATTTTTCATTTAAATAAATTAAATTTAAATTATTTATGACTTACCAAACTAAGATTGCTTAAAAATTTACTGAATCCACTCTGCCGAATTCAGAGTTTACGGTACAATCTTCAACTTCTCGAGTTGGCAGTTTAATAATAAAATATAACGAAATGGCGTTTTAAATAGCCGCACATATGCCATAGGCAGCAATTTTAGAGAGTTGTCCTTAGGCGATAAGTATGTGGCGGTCTCCCGTAGAAGAAATCTAAAATACTGAAATAGCTCAAAGTTTTTATCAAATTTAAAAATTTTTTAAAAAAATTTATCAAATTTTTTTTTATTGATATTTATTAAATTAATTTTAATTATTTAAATCCTATGTACTTACTGTAGCTATCTATATATATATAGTCTATTTTTAGTTTTACTGAATGAAAATCGTTTTATTATCCTTGTAGATTAATGTATTTAAACCGCACGTGCGTCTATTTTCATAATTTCAAATTAAAATAATTATTTATCTAATTGAATTGATTTTATAAAATGTAAAATTTTTAAGTATATAAATACTCTCACTAATTATACGTGGTTAATTTACTTTGAAATATTTCACAAAAATACTATATAAATACATAGACACGTATTTTTAAGGAAAAGTGCCCGGTTTGGGAAATTGCAATTACGTGGCTCACTGTCTCGCTCTCTCCTTCGCGTTTAATTAAACTCCATTAATCCGGTGCCAAGTTCAAATTTTTCACGGTAATTATTTTTAATTTTTTATCGATGTATCACCACTTAAATTCAACTTGCACGGGTTATTATTTAATTAAAGAAATTTATTAATTAATTACAAATTGTCAAGTTATTTTTATTTCATCAACAATTCAAATCTCTTAGTGACTTCCGCTTTCTCTTTTTTTTTTCTTTTGTAGATGAGAAAATATTTTTCTCTATTTTTAAATAACGGATATTGCTAATATTTTAAAACAATATTTTCTCTTATTATTATTTTTTTTTTGTTTTTGTAATTGGAATGAAACTGTCTTTTCGTAGTAGTTGCACTTATTATTACACTTAACTTTTCGCAAATTAAAAAACAATAACAATTGCATATATTTTGAAATATTTTCATATATTTTATTTTTGCCCTTTACTTCCTTATTGCGTTTGTAAGAGGAAAATAAATACCAAAAATTAATTCAACAAATTCAATTGTATAATTGTATAACGCAAAATATAAAAACAACAATAAACAATTAAAACTAAAACGAAATTGAAAAATTCAGTTGAGCCAAAAACATCGCAACACCGAATAGCACGGACACAAACCACAAATAGCAACAAATTTATTACAATTTTGTATACACACAAATTTGACAGTCAGCTGGCAAACGTTTTCATCGCCAACATAGAACACAACAAATAGAAGCAGAAGAAGAAAAAATCTGGGAAAATTTTATTTATAAAAAAGTTGATAGCAATTTCAATTGAAAAAATAAGATGAGTTTGCCGGTAATTATTGCGGGCATACAAAGCACTGCAGGCGCTGTGCCAGTGCGAAATGAGAAAGGTTATTACGAAATGCGCGCAAGTTCAAGTGCAGTGCCAACGCTAATTTACATTCTATTTATGTTTTAGGTGAGATTTCTATGCAAAAAGTAAAAGTGCAGCGGTACGTATCAGGCAAGCGTCCAGATTATGCACGAAATGATTCTAGCAGCGATGAGAGTGACTTGGAAGACTTCATCGATCATCGGAAGCGCACAACTGCAGCAATTGCACAGCAGGAGCGTCGCTTAAGGCGTGAAGAGGAAATTGCACTTCAGCGGGCAGCCGATGAAGATGACGATGCTGAATTTGATGATCCACGTTTAAGGCGACTACGTGCGCGTCCCGTAGAACAAGATGATGTAGAGCTGGAACGGAAAGATCGTCATCGACATGTACATGAGCCAGAATTTGTTGAAACAGAATCAGAGGAAAGCGAGAATGAACCCAACCGCACTATTGAAGCATCGACAAATAAAATCACATTAGCTTCAGAGTCTGACTCTGATTCAGAATTAAGTGAAACTGAATTGGAGAAGAGACGTATGAAACTACGTCAACGCATGTTGCAGCAACAAAAAGAAGAAGAGGTGAACTATTTTGCTTAAATAAAATAAAAAAAAACAAAAAAAAAATTTAATAATCTAACTATATTTCAGATTTTACAAAAAGAAGAAGAAAACAAATCAGAATCATCAGATAGCGAGAGTTCAGATTATGAGGAGGAAACTGAAAGTGAGGAAGACAATGAACCACGTCTAAAACCACTTTTTGTACGTAAACGCGACAGAGCTACAATACAGGAGAAGGAACGTGAGGCACAGAAACAAAAACAACTCGAAACTGAAACTAAGAAATCTGCTAAGGAAAGACGCAGACATACCCTACGTATGGTCGAAGATAGTGTCAAAAAGGATTTGGAAAAGGTGAAAGTAAGTGCAAATTTGGTAATAAGCATTGGTTGCTTCTAGAGCATATCCTGCTCATACACTTAAAGGATGTTTTGTTAGGAATTTATTTAAAACTAAAGTACTATGATTGAGGCTAAGTTGAGTTGAACCGGTTTTCATCAAATTGTAAAGTTGATGTGTCTGGCCCATAGGTGGAAGTCATAAAAAAAATTGTATTTTATTAAATAGCCAATATGCTTTACTAATGAATACACCCAGTGTGGCTAATAGAAAATTTTTATATACTTTATGAATTTAGGAATAGATGGCTACTAGTCTATATTATTCATTTTTTACGTCCATTTTGACGAAAGAATCTAAATTCTTAAACCATTCTTTTCAATAAAGGGTTTTTAGTATTCGAAGAGTAGTAAAATTGTAACAACAAATATTTTTTTATTATTTTTTAATTAATTGAATTTTTGACTGACTGTACAGCTGTTTTGTGTGTTACCAAATTTAAAATGCTTTAATAATAGAATTTTAAATAAATTGCGGATGATGAGCAGGAAGCCTAGCTTTTAACTTATATTCTTTGAAATATATTTGTCCAAATATTTTGATTCCGGACAGTAAAAATTCAATATCGTATTCAATGGGTTTATGTATATAATTTTATTTTAGCCTGACACCGCAGAGGCCAGAATCGATGATGTATGCACTGATGATGAGAATGATGAAGTGGAGTATGAAGCCTGGAAATTGCGTGAATTGAAACGCATGAAACGTGATCGCGAAGAAAGAGAAAAGTATGAATTGTGGAAGAAATTATTTATTTCAAATTAAATACCATTTTTTTTAGTGCCGAACGTGACAAGCTTGAAATTGATCGTTTGCGTAACCTAACTGAGGAAGAACGTCGACAGGAAATGCGCACAAATCCAAAATTAATCACTAACAAAGCCAGCAAAGGCAAATATAAGTTCTTACAGAAATATTATCATCGTGGTGCCTTCTACCTGGACGAGGAAGAAGATGTACTTAAACGTGATTTCGCACAAGCTACACTGGAAGATCACTTTGACAAGACAATTTTGCCTAAAGTGATGCAGGTTAAGAATTTTGGACGTTGCGGACGTACCAAATATACGCATTTAGTAGATCAGGACACAACCAAATTTGATTCTCCCTGGTATGCCGAGACAACAAATAATATTAAATTCCATAATGAAAAAGCTGGTGGCATGAAGCAGCATTTTGATAGGCCATCGCTGTCAAAACGTAAGAAAATGGAATAATTAATACATTGCCTAACTGATACATTTATTTGGTTAAGTATAAATACTCCTAACTTTTCACTATATTAACATTTACATACATATATATATTACTTATAAATATAATTCCTTTTCGTATGAATAAATTTTAATTTCAATTTATTAAAATATTTGTTTTTATTCAAAATATCATGCCAAGATATTCCCTTGCAACCGGATGCGACTTGAAATATTGCTTGAACTTACAAGCATACTTATTTCGTTCCTCTCTTTCCTTCAATTCGTCAAAGGTCTTGGCGAGATACACGTAAATATCCAAAACTTTTGCATGTGCCTCCAGTTTCTTAAACTGTTCAATTGCGTTCTCCAACATCGGTATGGATTTCAGAAGACCTATAATCTTCATACCCTTGCTATCTGCTGCTGCCACCAAGCACTTAACAAATATAAAATCAGTCTTGGCGCGATCATAGATGCCGCCATTAATACAGATGATTTCCATGCAATTCTTAATTGCTTGGAAAGCTTTCTGTATCAAACCCATTCTAAGCAGCACTTGCGCTAGCACCATATCAACCATTGCATGTTCATACTCCAGATACGCCGAGGCAGCTAACACCGAGGCACGCATAAGCAGTTCTATTGTTTGTGATGACATGCAATCCACTGAGATGGCCTTCAGGACCAGCACACGTACGTTTGTTAAAATGTCCAAATTACTCGTTTCCAGCAGTTTGTGCAGTAGGCGGCGTGCCACATTAAAATAACGTTTTGCCACCAATACAGTGGCGCGCTGCAGATTGCCGTCATTTTTGTCCAGCAAATAAAGTTGACAGCAAGCTTTTAGTGCTTCCTGCCAACGACAACGATAGATGCATTGCTGTATTTTTATATGGCATTCACTAATCATCCATTGAGCTGCGTGCGGATAGCGTGGAAAACGTTTGCGCGCATTATGCAACACCACAGCACTTAAGTGGTGTTCTCCTTGTATGTTCAACCAAAGTGCCAGGCTTGATAGAACCTTACAGACACTCTCCGAATTACTCACATCACCAAATACCCAGGTTTTCTTTAAGTTGAGCAGCAACTGCGCATACATAGCAGACATTTCGTAGCGTCCATATAGACACCAAAGTGCTGAACGCAGTGCCAACGAATCGGAAACATGTTCCAAAATGTAATTTTTACTATTAAGTTCATCACTCTTCAAGAGTAGTTCGAAGAGATCCAGAGGCATGTAACCACACTGTGCTCCAAATTTAACTACGAATTGTATGGCCAAGGAAAGAGATTGCATTAAGCCGGGATCTTGTATGTCAGGTAAACTCTTCTCGAAGGGATACATTCGATGGCTGTTTAGTAGGCAATACCAAGCATTTGCAAGATCCAAACAACGTTTATCACCACACTCCTGTGCCAACATAATACATTCACGTAGTGCACTTAAAGCTTCGCGTTTATGATCGAAGCTGGCGTGTAGGACGGCGAGATTAATGCTGAAATACTGAAAACCCTAGAGTAAAAAAAATATAATATTTAATATAGAATCCAATTAAATTTAAAAAATTGTGTGTGTCCACTACGCATACCTTCTGCTCATATTGATTCGTCATTTGTAAGGGACTGCGATCGAAGGAACGATGTAGTGCATCCATAGCACCAAAGAAATCACGCAATCTCAACTGATTCATGTAGCCCAAAAAGTATGCTTTGGAGTTCAATGGATTATCTTGCACGATTTCACCCAGTTTGGTTTGCAGTTCTATGGGTGGCAAAGCGCGTAGCTCATTACTTTCCAATAGATTACACTGTTGAGTAACAAAGAGATCAGCCTGTTTGGGTGACCACTTGCTATGTGGATTGCGATCTTGATGTACAGTGTCAGTGTCTAAGGCGCACTCATCGATAGTAGCTTCAGCATTTGTAGTTTTATTATTAGAATTAGTTGTACTCTCCGCAATATTCATTTGCCCAGCAGCTTTA